CACCAGGGGGCGCTAGATTCAAAAAGTCCTGTTTACTTTGGAACACTCCTCGTACATTCATATATGTATATATATATATATGTATATTGTATACATACATATACATATGTATTTTTTTTTTAAATCGGAAACGAATTGGAAATATAAAAATAAACCAATGTTCTTACGCATTTTGTGTGTGGTAATAGATATTGGCCACTATTTAAAAGGCAATTTGGAGTGGGCGGCTCATTTTGGTAGCATGTGCACAATCACTTCGCTAATTAATTGAAAAGAAATTAAAAATTTGCGCATTTCACTCTAAATTTAATTGCTGCTATTTGTGGAATTCGACTGGAGGTGCATGCAAAGGCATATGTACATATACATACATATATGTATATGGTATATTCTAACAAGCTAATTACCGATTATACCACAGGATGAAGGAAGTTATATTTCAAGCAACATATGGCACACATATTCCTTTACTTTAACAAAGATGTGACAAAGTAAATGGTACACACTCCAGCATACACCCATAATGTATTATCTCGACTCGCGCTAGATGCTTTTTAGCGCATCTTTAAAACATTAACCTCTTAAACCAACCTTTCAGAAAAATCAACATGGTACTAAGGCATAAATCTGTGAAAAGTGTTGCCTGCAACAAACAAACAAAATGCGAAGCAGTCCGATAGACAAAAGGTTCATCGCCGGAGGGTCACTATTGCAAAAGAAATTAGCTATCATGGAGTAGATTTTCCTAAATAGTTTCAGCTCAGCCGAATCTGACCTGAAGATCTGTTTTGACTACGTCTGCAACCAAACGTGTTCGCAGATTGCAGAAAAGTGGAAGAAATGGCTATATCGATCCGTGATTTAATTCTCAATTTGGAATCGAAATCGCGTAATGAATGCAAAAACATAAGAAAATACATATAATCTTCAATGGCGAGCGTCGAGATTGACCCAACAAATTTTGAATGTGGCAACAAAAAATACTATTACGGAAAATAAATTGACTAAATCTCACGATGCCGTATTGATACGGCTGAGATGAATTGTGAATAAGCTGAGACATTAGCCAACTCAAAAGCCTGCGTGGGTCACATCCCGCATAAAATATTGGGGATAAGAAAGCTGTCCGAGTAACCCAGAAACCGCTCTATAGCAGTGTTTGATGCAGCTGCGAAAAAGTTGAGGCTATCCTATCTGATAGAAAGGCATTTGGAACATTTTCTGTGATGCACAAGGTGTGACCTACATGGATTACTTGAATAAGTGTAAAAGGTGTCGAACTAAAAGAAGACAATTTTCACGATACCTACTAATCAGACCGGCCATGTAGAACTGATGCCGCTTTAACAGTATCCTGTGGTTTTGAATAGGTGAAAAGTTGTGAAAAAAATCAAATGCCTGGAGCAGTGTCGTAAACCAAAAAAATAAATTAAAGAACAAATAAGGTTGCGATACCTCTCGCGCCTTCGGTACCTCTAAAACTTTAATTTTGCGAGCTGTTACTTTATTCTAAAGACAAAAATGCTGTTGGTCAGAAGGTCTACGTCATCGGAATATCTGAAAGAATACCTGGAATCCAAAAATTATAATCGCTTCTGCTACAAACCTCCGACTATAAATAAGTCATTGCAGGGAAAAAAAACAAATTTTGATTTTCAGCACCTTTTTATTCTTAAAAGTTTTATTATAAACATGCATTTCTCAAATGAACATATATGTATGTGTAGTAAAGCATTTAATTGTAATATATAGTATTATTGTATTTGTACTGATTTCAGAAACTGACAGCCACTTCATTAATAATTGTACAAAATTTATATTTATATGAACTACGCGATCATGTTAACTGAAACGAATTCAACGTACAAAAACAAAAAAATTAATACAAATTATTGAGTAAGAAATAAAATAGAAATTGAAAAATATGTATTTTTAATTAGAATCGACTAAAATTTCGGCGGATTGTTTCAAATAGTCCGCTAATTCTTTCAGATGCCATTTGCTACAACGCTTTGCAACATTATGATTCAATTGAAGAGGATCTTGTACGACGATTTGGGCATTCAGTTGTAAGCCCCACTCTTTTGTAGCTGAGTTGTAATTTTTAATATAATTGGTATAACTGCAAGATATATATATTTAACATCGATATTAACACAAAAAAAATTCAAAATTACCGTTCTGGCATTAAGTTTTCGAAATTCTTAATTTCTATATTTGGACGTCCAAAATAGGGACAAACGACATGCAATTCGTACTTGAAATTTGCGTAATATTGACAAAATTCTTTAATGTGCTGCTTGCAACATGGTGGACTGACGCTAAGCTCTTGCATTCCTAAAGCATTCAACGGAATGTTATTAAAGTTGCCGATCCACGCTGTAACATCGAAAATTTATAGTATTTAAATGTATTAAAATTATATATAATACATATGTAGTATATAAAAACATATTGGAAAAGTTTGCTTACGTCCAATCAGAACATTGGCTACCATATTCTTCTGCAGTGTCTCAATTGAGGGCAAGAACTTTTTGACTTGTAGATAATAAATGACCATCAGGGCCATACAATATGTGGTTATATGTTCGTTCAAACGCGTGCGCTCTAACCACTTCTTCATAAAAATACAAAGTCGACGTGCTAAATAAAAGTAGAGATTAATTAATATAAATATTATATAATTACACGCTGAATTTTGTTATATAAAACAACAAACCTAATGGCTGTTGTTGGAAAATATACTCCAGCAACTGCGTGTTGCAATAGCTAAGACTGTTTGAAAATCCAACATCGCATTCAATATTTGTCTTTCTATTAGTCATACGTATTATGGGTACACGTGCCGCACGAATAGCACGAATCTGATCCCAATCGATAGAACTTTTCTTAATGACTTCATAAATCCGATCGTAGTTATAAAGCGTTTCATCGCTGGCAGTTTGCTCGAAAACATTAAATTGTCCACCTAATTTGAATACCGTATACATGCACATATATAAGTTAAACACCCACATAAGCAGTAACATAGTAAGATAGGGTTTTTACCAATATCCACGTAGATATCCAAATCCGAATGGCGCGCTCCAATACCAGTAATTCGCGAACCAAATTTATATAATTTGATACTCTTGCTGGGGACCGCCTTTTTTAACGCTGTTAACAATGCATTTTCTATGACTTCATATTCTGGAATTTGTTTAATTTTTTCTGCAACTTGCAATTGATCGGCAAAAAATTTCGCAAAATCGCCCATAACCAATGCTCTACCTTCTACATTATAAGCGAAAAATATAAACAAAGAAAATATTATAAATAAATAATTCAATCAACTTTTAATCTGAATACGTATTTGTTTTGCATATGTACGATTAGGGTGTCCTCTATTAAACGCCTCTTAAGTTTCAATTTTTGCAGTAGAAAAGGTTTCAATAAAAAATTTAACTTTTCCCATACATTTTATACGCGAATTCTTGATCTTTTGACATAATTTTTTTTTATCTCCAAAGCATAATGCAATATATATAGTATGTACATGTACATGGGAAAAAGATGATGATTAAAATAGTTTAGGCACAATTTAAGTTAATAAAGAGCTAGTGTACGTAGGATACTTGTTTTTAAGGAACAATTTAAATTTCAGGTGCGCTTGCAAAACTACAATCAACTTGGGAAAAAACGGACTCCCTAATATAAATTAGTCATACTTTTCGGCAATTTGTTCAGCTTAGTTTCGGCCGCTTTTTTTTGAGCTTTTTTCTTTTCTATGTTGATTGGATTGGGTTTAATTTCATGCTTCGCCACTAGATGTAGTGCTGCTTTGTCAGCGCTTTTGCCCAAATCCTTTTTGCAAATGTTGCAGTGGTAAATACTGTGTATTGCTGCTAAATCATTACGTTGAACTAACTTAGTTTTCTCCGTAGCCACAATGGGTTCGGGATTTTGATCCAAAAACTTTTGTATACCGAGCACAATATTGTTCAACATATCAAATAAGTTTGTGTCAATTTGATTGTACTTTTGGCTGTAGGTCTCTAAAGAGTTGAGGAATAGTTGAGACTCCAATGTTAACGGATGTAACTAAATGACATTATTGCGGATAAGTTTAGGTATAATAAATGGTAAATAAATGCTTACATAAGTCGATCCACCTTCCTGCTCCATTTTTAAAGTTAAACTAATTTTTGCAAAAGGTTTAGACACTTTTTACATATATAATACAAGAGGAAATCAAATAAAAAACGTTAAAACAAGCGAAAGCCAACGCTATTGTGGGAACTACAATTCTTTGAATCAAAATATTTTTTTTTTTGCTGTTTCTAGCTAATCACAGCTGATTGTTGCATACATGTCAAACAGTTAGCCAACGTTGCATTAAAAATTGTCAGAAAATGTTTGGATTATCTGCAAGCCACCAACGTGTTAAGTCACCCGTTTCTTACCAAACAGCGCTAACAGATAGTTCTGTGGGAGTTTGGATGAGTTTCTGAAGGCCGTTTTCTTAAAGTCTGTGAGTTAAGTTCCGGTTAAAAAAAGTGCTTGACCGAAACAAAGAATCTTTTTTAAATTAACCAGAACCTAACTGACACCTGTTTGCGAAAACGGCGCTTAATGTACAAATGGCAATTCTACCCGAAATTATTCTGTAAAAAGGTTTATAAGTTGTTATGTAAGGGTTGGTTTCCCAGCTAATGTTTTCATTGTGTTTGAGTTTCGGTAGCCCTGGTTTCTGGATTTTTTCCTATGATATAAATATGTTATCTGCTTCTTGGTATTCGCTCTTAATATTTAATATATTAACTAGGTTGTTTTAAATGATGGCAAGTAAAGATATAAACTCAATACAATTGAAGAATACCGTATTGATACACCTATTACTACTTCTTAAATTTTTTATAAATATTTTAAGAGAGTTTTCATAAATGCAACCCTATATGAGACAAATCTTTCACGACATTTTTTTAACTGATATCGATTTTAAAGACACATCTTTATTTTTTTCTTGAAAAGTGTGTGAGAATTTTGTCTAAGAAAAATATTTTCTGAATTTAAGTAAGAAAAAGTTATTTACTATTCAACTTTTGTGACTATGGACGCTGAAGTCGAAGGCAGTATTGAAAATAATGTACAATCTGGCGACGAAGTGGCGTCACCATCTATAGATGGTGAAACTCCATATAAAGGTGGTGTTGGGCCTTCTCAGGAAAACAATGCAACCCCTAATATAAATGGAAATGCGGGACAAGCAACGCCAGATACAAGCGAAGGCGAATCTCAATGGTACGTAACAAAAAAAAAAATATAATAAGTTAATTTGTGTGAACATATTGGTCGATAAAATGTGCTATTTTTTGGGTTGTAGCGGCAAAAATTTGCCGAGTTGACAATTCTTGGCCGTATAAAAATCCGTCCCGTCCCGGTTAAGTAGACCCGACCGTTGTAGAAATGTTGAAGTTAGACTTTACGAAGTATCTTCATTTATGTTATAATATGTATAAATTCTTACTTCATTTCATTTGCGGCCTTAAAAAAACCGAGAACTCAAAAATAAAAATGTATACGACTTTTTATATCCTTAACACACTATCAATGCATAAGCTGCTAGACAAGCTTGCCGATAACATCAAGTTATTTTATAGATGCCTTTATATTCATGGAATTTGTAATAGCTTCGGTGAAACTAAAGTTAACTTTTTTCTTTTTATTATTATATTTTTCGCACATAAACCCACAAGTATTAGCATGTAGGCAAAATGCTTCTATGTTGCTTGGTAACCTATTTAATTTCATTATGTTATATTCAGGACTCCAAACAATCAAAGTGCTGCCACTGCTAAACCTTTTAGTATGCCGCCATTTGGTGGACCACCCGGAGCTTTTCGTGGTGGACGGGGAGGTATTCATATAATGCCTTTTGGTCGCGGTGGTGCTCGAGGAGGTGGCGGCAATTTTGGCGGACGCGGACCGGGAAGCTTTGATCCGAATTGGCAGGGACAAAATCAAAATGGCCCACCAAATATGACAAACGGGCCACCACTCGAGCTGTGGGTGGAGACTAAGACAGATGATGGAAAATCTTATTTTTATCATGCCATGACACGTGAAACAACATGGACAAGACCAGAAGGTCAAAATATTAAGGTTATGACTCAAGCAGAAATTGAGGAAGTGAATAAAAAACAGCAACCACCTCAACAGCAATCTCAACAGAATAACACACAGCATGCGGATGCTAATGTTAAAGGGCCAGAGCCTAGTGGTCACGCTCAAGGTGGCATGATAGATGCGCAAAAGGAGTTACCCCCCATGTCGGTTGCTCCACCCATGAAAGCACCAGATACATTGACACAACATCCACCACCAAATATGATGTCACAACCACCACCCACACAACAGACCTTGACGCAGCCACCACCAAATGTAGTACCAAGCGGTGCGCCACCAATGACTCAACAGCCTCCACCTTCTATGCACCAACAGCCACCTCCATTCTTTCCACCTGGTATGCATCCACCGAATTTCTCGCAAACTCCATTTGGAATGCCTCCTCCTGGTTATGGTGGCTTTCCAGGTGGACCAGCACCTTGGGGTATGCCCTGGAATCAGCACATGCATCCTCCACACGGTCCGCCGGTGCAAGACAAACCGGCAAAAAATTTAATTATAAAACCTGGTGTAATTGATCCTGCTGTAATTGCACGCGCTGCTGAATGGTCCGAACATCGTGCACCTGACGGACGTCCCTATTACTATCATGCCGGTCGCGGCGAGAGTGTTTGGGAGAAACCACAAGCGTTACGCGACATGGAAGCAGCACGCATGGCTGCTCATTCGGGCACAACTCCGCAACAGGCAGTGGCTCCCCAAGTCGCACCCACCATGCCACCACACATGATGCCCAATCCTGCCCTTATGCACATGACGCCGGCAGCCGGCGGTTATGAACAGGCTATGGCGTATAATGCTGCTGCTGCCGCAGCCGCCGCCGCCGCTGCAGCAGCTGCTGCCAATCTCAAACCCATCGAACAAACCAAAGCGGCGCAAGCTGCGGCATTGGAAAAAGAATCCAGGAAGGTGGCAGAGGAAAAACGAAAGAAAGAGGAGGAGCAACAAAAGAAAGTTACGGCAACAACAGCAAAACCAGTAGATAAATCACGTCCTATATCAAGTACTCCGATCGCTGGTACACCATGGTGTGTCGTTTGGACAGGTGATGCGAGGGTTTTTTTCTATAATCCTTCCACACGAACATCTGTTTGGGAAAGACCTGACGATTTGATAGACCGTGCCGACGTAGACAAAGCAGTCAACAATCCGCCGGAACAGTTAAAGGCTGCTGGTAATGTCGCTGCGGAGAAACAGGTCGAAAAGATTGAGACAGAGAAGAAAAAAGAGGTTGAAATTCCCGAGGAAGAGGAAGAAGAAGAGCAAGAAGATGATGAAGTCATCAAAATACGCACTGAATCTGAATCCAGTGTGGAAGAAGTACCAACGAAGAAGTCCCGATTATGTAAGCAATTAATTAGTAATTAAAGATATTTTATTTATTGACATTTACTTTTTTAACAGCCGCAAAGCAAACCAGGAAAGCGGATGCCAACGAAGCAGCCGTGGAAGCTGAGGTACGCGCGGCTAAGGAGCGCGCTGTAGTGCCATTAGAGACACGTGTCAAACAGTTTAAAGAAATGTTGCGTGAAAAAGATGTAAGTGAATTAGAACATTTTCTTTGGATGTGCATGATTGATGCTAATCATTCTCAATTGCTAGGTATCAGCATTTAGCACTTGGGAGAAGGAGCTACACAAAATTGTTTTCGATCCACGTTATTTGCTGCTAACCTCCAAGGAGCGCAAACAGGTGTTTGAAAAGTACGTTAAAGATCGCGCTGAAGAGGAACGCAAGGAGAAGCGCAATAAGATGCGTCAAAAGCGCGAAGATTTTCGCAAGCTTATGGAAGATGCAAAGCTGCATGGAAAGTTCGTAGCAAATCAGAATTTATAAAAAATAATTTTTACAAATATTTATTTCTTTGAACGCATCGCTTAGGTCCTCATTCAGTGAGTTTTGTCAGCGTTATGGCAAAGATGATCGGTATAAAGCTATCGAAAAGGTGCGCGAACGTGAGAGCCTCTTCAACGAGTATATTGTAGATGTGCGTCGTCAAGAAAAAGAGGAGAAAATACAAAAAAAGGAACAGGTATGTGCGTGTTCCCTTAAATGCATGCGGGCCGAGAATGCGTTTGTTAGCACAGTTAATTTGGGTTTTGGGCCGCAGCAAACGTATTTCTTATTTAAATATTTAGTATTTCGTATTTTTAAATGATTAATTGAATTTTTCATACGTCTCTATTTGTATATACACTTATTATATTGTTAATGCTTCACAGCAAAGTTTATACTTTTTATTTTTTATAAAAATTTTCTTCACTCTAATCTTGATATCTCAAAACAAATCAAACAAAAAAATCTACCACTACTACTTCAACGATTATAAATATCGGCTAAACTACGCACGAACAACAAATTGTCAACCAACTACAAAAAAACATAGTCAATTGCAACCAATCATGTGATTATAGGTCAGCTGCTTGAAGTGTGTTTAAAACCAATACTATTTTGCTTAGCCGCGTAAAAGTTGGTTGACTTAGAAAAACAGCAAAATTGCTAAATATCGTTTTTAGGCTGCAGTATAAACGTAAGGAAAACGCAGCAAATAATATGTAGCAGCGTAACGTGTGACTGACTGATAATTCATGGTCATCCAGCTGCCAACGACCGCATCAAATTGCATTGATCCGCCAGGCAACCATGTCCATCCTGCTACTACCACCCATCAACCCAGTGACTTGCCTGTTCGTTAGTACCTTCACGCCTGCTCGGCACGTTTTCCCCAAATTGTTTGTGTCTATCTAGCTCGAGCTCGTGGTGAGTTATTTATATGCAAATATGAAAGCATTAATACAATAAAAAAGTAAATAAATGCAAAAAACAAATCAGATCAACGTTGACTTCATTAAACAAACAGCAAACAAATGCAAATTATTGTATATCAACGATAAAACTTGGTGATTTACCCTTCTGCCACCAGGAACGTCGGCACGTCGGCACGTCACATGTTACATATTGAAGCTATTTGGATGCGCACTGACAAATGGTGTATATTGATGGATGGAAAATAACGCAATGGACACATAGAAGACGTAACGGCATTAGGCAGACGACAAGACATGCCAAACTCCCAACAGCTGGCAGTTTAGTTAATGTTGGCGCTCGAGTCTCCAGTCTCTGGTCTCTGAGTGTGGCAGAGCTTGAACTAGAGCGGGAGTGGGAGTTGAGCGAGAAGAGACAGAAACAGTATGAATAAAAACTCAATCTAAACTTCATACATTTAGAATCTTTGTTACAGCCGCAAGTGCAATAAGTATTTCAAAACTCGATATTTCACATTCATGCCACCAGAAGTGCATATTTTGAATATATATATTTTAATCGAATTTTTGCTAGTAAATCATAATTTATGGCACGTGACACTTATTACCATTTCAAAAATGTCAAACGAATGTGAGATATTGATTTTTACTGACGGGCTTTACTTGTAAGTTCATAAAGTAAAGCATTCAATACATTATCTATATGTATTCTTATTATATAACACACGTACATGTCATTGTTGTCCGTCCGTCCGTCGAAAAAGTGCCCATACACGTTGCCTCTCTAATTTATGCCAATAACATTTTTCATTTTCAGCTCTACACTGTTGGATTCTCATAATTAAGTCATCAATAAATTTCTGTTTCAGCTTTCAACGCTATTTAATTATAATACTAATCTTGATACGTTCTCTTGCAGCATAATTAAGTATAATTATTATTTAAGTTATTATTGTCGACTATTAAGTTAGTTAGTAAGCGTCATCTATAAGCCCCTGTTATGTGCCTATAAAATTATGGTGTAAGCTAAAACGAAAGCCAATGCCTGAAATCGTCTAATTCTCCACATTTGTTTTCTCTCTTTCTTCCTGACCGCACTTGCTACATTCACCCAAATGAACATCCCAAACACACACACTACGTACCTCTAACATATTTTAGATACGCAAGGATTTCATAGAAATGTTGCGCGAACGGTCGGATATGGACCGGCATACACGTTGGCATGACATCAAGAAGAAATTCGATGCCGATCAACGTTATCGTGCTGTGGAGAGTTCTACTTATCGCGAGGAATACTTCCAGGACTTTATGCGCATCATGAAAGAAGAGAAGCGTAAACAACGTGAGCTGAAGGATCGTGAGCGGGAGCGTGAGCGTGAGAAGGAAAGGGAGAGGGAGCGTGAACGTGATAGGGAACGGGATCGTGAACGCAAGTCAGATCGCAAACGTGGCCGCAATGATCGTAGCCGTAGCCGCAGTCGAGAACGCGATCGTGATCGCAGTGACAAGGACAAAGGTAAAGAGCGTGAAAAGGATAGGGAGCGTGAGAAGGATAAGGAGCGGGAGAAAGACAAAGAAAGGGATAGGGAGCGAGAAAAGGAAAAGGATAAGGAGAAGAATGGCGAGCAGAAGAAAAAACACGATGAGTCGGTAAGTTTGTTACTGCTACTTAGAAAAAAAAAAAAAAAATTAATATATAAACGATTTTGTCTTGTCAATGAAGGATGAGGAAGGCGAGCAACATGACGATGAAGAGGGTCACACTAATAGCGAGGATGATGAAGCGGAGCGGCTACAAAAGGAACGTGAAAAGCAATTGCGTGCCGAACAAAGTATACGCGAACGTGAGAAGGAGGTTCAACGCACATTAGCTGGACATTTGCGCGATCGCGATAAAGAGCGGGAGCACCACAAACGGGATGAAGCTATTGGTCATTTCAATGCGCTGCTAACGGACTTGGTACGTAACCCAGATCTGACATGGAAGGAGGTGAAACGGCAACTACGTAAGGATAGTCGCTGGGAGCTAATTGAGACGCTAGATCGAGATGATCGTGAGAAGTAAGTTTACTGCACTGAAATCTACACATTTAACTTGGCCTACAAATATGTAACATATTTTTAGACTCTTCAACGAACACATCGACACACTTATGAAGAGAAAGCGTGAAAAATTCCGTGAAATGCTCGATGAATTGTCAGCGCTGGAGCTGACCAGTTCATGGAAGGATATCAAAAAATCAATTAAAGAAGATCCACGTTATCTGAAATATAACAATTCCGATAAATGTGAACGCGAATTTCGTGATTATATTAAAGACAAAACTCTCGCTGCCAAGACCGCATTGCGTGAGCTTTTACAGGAATGCAAATTAATAACACACAAAAGTAGCGAAGTTGTTAAAGACAACCCGAATCATCTGAAGGAAATACAGGATATACTGAGGAACGATAAGCGGTACGCCGATTTAAAATCTGTTGCAATTGCTAATATTTTCTTATATATATTAATTTTCTGTTTTTCATTTCCAGCTATCTAATATTGAGCCACATGGAAGAGGAGCGCACCACTATCATTGTGAATTACTTGGAAGAGTTGCATAAACGTGGTCCTCCACCGCCTCCAACGGCTTCTGAATCAACTAGACGCAATAAGTAATTTATCATCCAACATTTTAAGTAAAAATACCAATAACTTGTGGTAAAATAACATTTTTATGCGATGTTATGGTCACAAGAATGCATAATGAAAAAATTGAATTATAATCTAATGATAAGCCTTTTATTACACATACCAATTTAGTCAAAATAACAAAATGAATTGCATTAATTAGAAGCAAATTTGTGTCAACTAACTGATTCAGTTTAACCTCATTCATTATGTATGTATTAACCTTGTAGTTTCAGCAGTCAATTGTGAAATAAACATGAATCCAATTAGTTTTCATAAAAGCATTTCCAATTAAAATTGAAACAAGGAACCACTTCTTAAACAGTTACAATAATTTATCGATGCAATATTTGTACCCTGAACAGGTTATATTACTTTGCTACTAAGTTTGCAATACCCAGAAGAAAGCATCGAAACTCCTATAAAGTGTACATTTAAATTATAAGCGCATTCGTTCGTTGTTCGTGGTTGTGTACGGTTGATTTTTTCATATCGAGCGCACATATACATACTCGCTGCATAACTTCTCGTTACTTGGTGTACGCGCAATTTAACCTAGCTTTGACATTTTGAGCTTCAATTCGTTACACTTATAAAGTTAAATCCACAATTTAATCGGGTAAGAACGTAAATTCTTTCGCAAGGCCCCCTGGGGCCAACAGGCTGTGGACAGTTTTAATAATAGGTTTGCACTATTATCACGGGATCCTAAAAACAAGAGGAAAAAGCCAGAAAATTCAATGCTGGACTTCTTCCTGGAATTACGTATTTCTGAGAAGGATGATCCCAAGTAGCTCGTAATCAAATCACAGGACGCCTGAAAACCTATTGCATCCACTTCTTGCTTTGCAGTACATAAAGGTATTCAGACCATAAGCAAAGACATTAACAAAATCACATCGCTTCGTGACGGCAGCCTACTTCTTTTGGTCAAAAACCAAAAAATCGCTGACAAATTTTTACAAACCAAACATCTTCCCGGAGCTGSTGCTGTTGATATATCTCTTCACAACTCTCTGAACTCAGTAAAGGGTACAATTTACGCTCCGCTTATCTGTCAGCTTGCTGATGAAATAATTGATGGTCTAAAAGATCAAGGAGTCTCCGATGTTCATAAAGTTACCAAGATAAACAATGGTGATCGTGTGCTGGTGCTTTGTTATTAACTTTTGATAAATATACTTTACCTAGTCGTATTGAAGTTGCCTGATGTACCCTCGATATCCGTCCCTACTATCCTAATCCCATGCGCTGCAAGAATTGTCAGTTGCATAGTCATACTGCTAAGCGATGTAATAAGACCCCATCTTGTGCTATCTGCAACCTACCCCCAAATCATACCCCTCCTACTGAATGCTCTAGAGTCAAATGTTCTAACTGCCTGTCCAAAATTTGTCCAGTCTAAAGAGATACTTAAAATTAAAACTGTCCACAAGTGTTCGATGCGTGAAGCCATCAATTTATACAAATCTCTAATGCCTTCTACTCCCTCACCATTCTCTTATGCTAATGTAACAGCTTATAACAACAATGCTTACTCAAAAAAATACATCAGCATCGAAAAAACTTCAAACACTAATGATTCTAATGACAACATTAAAGCTCCAACTTCAAACAAAAATGCTTCATCCCCTACCAACATACACTTAATCCATAATGATTGCCCCGAAACCCCTTCTCCCTCAGTATCTTCCCTATACAATTCTCCCTCTCCATCCTTCTCACCCCTTTCCACATCTACTTCTCCTACAACTATAACCCGTTCCACAACTTCACCTGTACCCTCCTGCCATCCACAATCACAAACCCAAGTATCCATAGATACTTAATTCTAGATATTAAATTCCAATTAAAATTTACATTTTTCATACATATATACTTTAGTTTTCTTTATTTTTCTATGTTAACTTTTCTTCAATGGAATATTAACGGATACATTAATAACTACTTTGAACTTGAAATTTTAATTAAAAAATATAACCCCTCTGTAATATTATTAAATGAAACACATATTGCAGACAATATATCAGCTCATACTCCAAAAGCCTATGCTGGTCACTTTTATAACCTTCCTTCCGTCACATCAAGCAAGCAAGGTATTGCAATCCTGATTAAGAGAAGTATACTGCATAATATTCTCCCAATATCTCCTTCGAATATCTCTTCCGGTGCCATCGAAATTTCCTCCCCTCAAAAAATCATAATCATCTGTGCATATTTTCCTCCTCACCAAACTTTTACTTCAGCAGACTTCTTTAACCTTTTACCTTCTGGCTCGACTCCTTTTTTTACTGGCTGGCGACTTCAATGCCTGGTGCCCTCTTTGGGGTTCTTCTTCAACTAACTCCAGGGGCCGCATTATTGAGGATGCTGTCCTCTGTTCGGACTGTGTTGTCCTTGATGACGGTTCCCCTACCCATTTCTCCACTCATTCCACTTTCACCCATATAGATCTTACAATTTGTTCAATCCTTGTTGCTTATAAAAAAGCCAATGCCATTTTCAGAAGAAAAGCGAAGCAAGCAAAAGTTAAATCTTTCCAGACATTTACCAGCAGCATTAATTCCTCTTCTGGTCAAATATAAGAAGACTATCTGGCAATATTTCTTTCTCTCCTATTCTCTCAATCAACTCCTCTCAAGACAATCTACAATATCCACAGGATATAGCTTTAGAATGCGCCAAATTTATCTCGTCAAACTTTCTGATTATAATTTCTCCTCTGAATACTCGTCTAATAAGCACTCTTTACTTGCCTATAATTACGTTTCATCTGCTTTATCCCCTTCAGCCGAATATCTCAACTCAGATATATCTTTAATAGAACACAATATAGCTCTTTCTGCGGTTAAAGGTAAAACGCCTGGGTTAGATAAAGTTTCCTATCCCATCATCAAAYATCTTCCTTCTCATCTCCTCAAGCGACTTATCAACCATTACAACAATATTTATCGAACTGCCACCATACCCCAAATCTGGAAAACCAGTGCAATCATTCCTATTCTAAAACCTGGCAAACCTCCGTGCGAAGTTACCAGCTATCGTCCTATTTCCCTTCTACCCTGTCTAGGAAAACTTTTAGAAAAAGTTGTTGCTACTAGGCTCTCTTGGTTTCTCCATTTCAATAAACTCATTCATTCAAATCAGGTTGCATTCAAAAAAGGACAAAGCACTAACGGCGCTCTTTTACACCTTGACCTTCATATGTGACGCTTTATCTAATAAAAATCACGTTTCACTTCTTTCGCTTGATTTTGAACAAGCGTTTGATCGCGTTGGCATACATGTAGTTTTAAGACAATTAATCAAATGGAAGGTTGGCCCCCGTATATTTAGTTTTGTTAAATCCTTTCTCTCTAAACGTAAAATCAAAGTTCTTATTTCTGGCACATCTTCACCGACTCTTCCTTTGGATAACGGCACTCCTCAGGGATCAACGCTATCAGTTATTCTGTTCATCATAGCATTTGATGAAATCATGTCTAACCTTTCTTCCTTCCCTAATATTCAGCATCAATTATATGCTGATGATCTATATCCTCTACCTTTGAAGAAATCCTTTCTCAACTATCCCTATGGGCCCCTTTCCGCATGCGCACCGATTTCATTCAACAATGTAAATATTTCATGTTCTCCTACACTTAAGTTTCTTGAATTAATTCTAGATAGTAAATATGCATTCAAACAACATTGTCAATATATTAGAAAAAGAATTACTAAAAACTCAAATATTGTTAAGTACCTAGCATGCACGCGTTCGCTCATTGGCTCATCTTTGCTAATTGATGTTGTCAAGGCACTCCTAATCTCCGTCATCAATTACGCTCTTGAAATATATGGGCATCATTCAAAAAGTCATCTAAAATTGTTGGCTGCACCGTATATCTCCGCTGTTAGAAGATCGCTTCGAGCATTCCCCACGTCACCAATCAAAAATATATTAGCAGAGTCCGGTTTTCCCTCCCTGATAGACAATATGGAAGACACCACATACAAATTATACCCGAAGATCATCCTTGGTTCTAACCATGTGCTTCAGAATGCCTTTTCTTCATCATCATCACCTATCCGACCTCCAAAAATTAAGTCAGCTATATAAATGCACCATTTTCGCCAAAACAAACAGCTTGCCAATAAAACCTGCTAAACTTCCTAAACGTCGTCATCCACAATGGTTGATTCCAAAAAACACGTTTATTGATATTGCCTAAATCCACCACACTTAATGCGATTTATGTATTAGAATTTTGTGAAATTATGAATACTCTGAAACATGACAGTTGGAGATTTGTATTCACGGACGGTTCAAAAAAAACTCAAACCCCTTTTGCGTTCGTTAGCGAGAAAGGAAAGCCAATTTCATATGGACTGCTTTTCCCCTTTTGTTCGATATTCATGGCTGAAGCCACTGCGATTTTCCCTGCTGTTCTACATGCCACAACGAGCCCGGGAAAATATGTATGTAATATGCACCGACAGCTTATCATGTTTCCAAGCCATTCAAAATTGCAACAACCACACTAACATCATCATTTCAATTAGATAATATCTTATTATATATGAAAATAAAATTAAGATAATGTGGGTTCCAAGCCACACTGGGTTATCCGGAGATAATTACGCTGATGTATTAGCAAAGAATGCATCCAACACGCCCACAATTACATTCAGTTTCTTTATGAAATCTGATATATTCCGACTCATAAATCAAAATAGGCTCTCTAAATTGGCACTTGATTGGGTCTCATATAACCACCATTATTCAATAGTTAACACAGCCAGAATCAAACCGCTATACCCACCAACAGTTGCAACTAATTTTATAACACAACACATTCGCCTACGGATTGGACATACTATACTGACGCATGCTCACCTCCTCGGAAGAAACAGTACCAACTGCTGTCCCTTTTGTAACTCAACAACAACTGTGCTTCATATATTAGAATTTTGTCCAACACTGAAAGATAAGAGAGATTACCACGATCCGATTTCCCTCCTTTCCAACGCTACGGAAGAAAATATAAAAACTATCTATCGTTTTCTTAATGAATGCACTGAGGAGAACTTAAGCCAACACATTCATTCAACGGACAGCTGATAGCCTCTGAAGCTAGCGCTGCATGTTTTAGGTTGTACATATGTTATTAACATTGTATAAGCTTTTATAAATAAATAAATAAAAAAGAAAAAAAATTATAAGCGTGACAAGCTAAGTAGATTTACTTATGGACTTTGTTGTTGTTGTTGTAACGATTGCCAAATCCCCGT